CCTGCAAAAAATTGAAAAATATGTTTTCCTGTGAAGTTGCCATGCAATAAGGAACCAGGCATGTTAATTTGGGGTCAAATGATTAATGGGATGACTTATTTTAATATCTGTTAATTATTGCTAACATGTTAGGCAGTGTGCTGCAGAAATATGAGCCTCATCCTTGTTATAAATTGAACATTCCGTATTTTGTTTGTCTTTGTTTTCTCAAATTAATCATTGGAGTGAATAACATTTGATGAAGTCAAAATGTTTAATTTGCACTGGCTATTTTCCAGTCTACCTGGAAATACCAGCAAGATAAATTCCCCATCGTGCAGGATGATTTTGAGTGAGCTACAAGCAAAACTTGACATGCTGCTGTTCTCAGGTGAACCTCTTTTAAGTATAACGTAATTGATAAGACATTATTGAACTTTTAGTCAAAAGCAAATATCTCAGTATATGTTGACTGAATGCACATTGCTGAGATTTTTTTTTCCTGAAATTTACCTACTCACATGCTAAGTAATTCCCCTACACCTCCTACTTGTGGAGAAGCACTTTGCGTAACTTAATCTCACTGCTTCTATCTTTTTGTAGATTATTAAAGAACAGGTTTAATTGACTCAGGCCATCTTTCTGATGTTTTTTCTTTGGTACACGTAGAATATGAGTGATAATATGGGACTCTTTGTCACCAATACTATGGTTGCAGTACTTCCCATTTATATTTGTCCCTTCTTCTTAATCTTTTCTTTCCCCCTGTGCTTGCTGAATTACTTCGGGCCCTCATCTCCTTTTGGCAGTGATGATTCCTTCCTGTATCGGCCTTCATTCTCGCCCATCTCACGCCATCCTTCACTCTGTCTTTGGTAAACTTCCTGAGACACGCCGCTTACAAACCTTAGATGTCTCCTCATGTCTAAGATGCCTGGCTGTGAATTTCAATCCCACAGAACACCATCGTGGCCCAACCTGTCCTTCTAACCCCATTGTCCACCGTGGCATCTTGCCCCAGGCTACGGTCAAACTGGAGTTCTTTGTAGCCCCAGAACCATCCGTTCACTCCTCTGTGTCTCTGTCCTCACTCTCTCCTGGGTCTGGGAGGCCCTTTCCTCGCTTCTGATGACTGAAATTTTACTTGTCTCTGTGACCTGGTCTAGTGTGACACACTCATGAAGCCATCTGTGATTCTTGCCGCATACAAAATGCCTCAGAAAATCAATTTTTCTTTCCTCTATGCTCCCATTGTTTTCTGTGTATTAATATGCCACTTAGTCTCTGAATCAAAGCATAGCCTCCTGCATGTTTATTTCATCCACAAATTTGTAAATCTCCACAAGGATCAAAACTGCCACTGTTATTTTTGTCTCTTCAAAGTGCCAGGCAGGTGGTGTTGTCATGGATGAATTTAATTAGCATAGCACTTATGGTTTACACACATTTGTTCTCTCATGTGGCTCAGAGCCAATCCTCACAAGTGGGACGAGCAGGTATTATTACAATTCCATAGACCGAGTCACTGGGGTGCCTAGAGTTTAGGTGCCAATCAGTGGGGACAGGAGAGACAATCACAGTTGGACGCCTGCCACAGGCCAGGCACTGTTGCAAGTACTGTCTCACTTAATCCTCACAACCACCTTGTCGGGTGGGTATTATCATCTGCATTTTACAATTGAGGAAACTGAGGCCCAAGGGCACTTAGAATAACTTTCCTAACATCAAATAACTAGAAAGTGACGGAATGGGGGCTCAGATGCCAGTCTGTCTGACAACTGGCACCGGCACCTGCCTTCTCCCACTGAGTACTTCCTTTCTCTAATATGGCATTGAAGAAAATGAAATGTGATTGGCAAATGTGGACTGGCTCTAATGTTTAGTCTACATGTTTTGAGGCATACATGGGTGTCCAATCATCCTTGGCCTTGGACTTCAGAGCATCTCAGCAGGACCTCGGTGTCCAGCAGGGGGAGCGGGAGAGCAGCATCTCTTTGGTTAAGATGGTCTGAGCTCCTGTCCCAGTGCTGTTGCCTCTGCTGTCTTGCTATTAATACATTACTTGGCTTCTGGCTTATAGTTCAAGATCTGTGCTTTGCCTTTGTTTTCCTTTGGGTAAAAGGCTGGCCTCCACCATTACTGTTGACCTGTCGTAGGTGGGGCAGGGATTGAAGTCACAGAGAAGCACTGTCTTTGGACCCCACTGTGCTTCACAGAGCAGATAGAGTGAGAAGCCATGTGGATTAAGAATCCCACCTGAGAAAACATGGCAGGACCAGAGTGTGTGTAATCTTAAGTCTTTTCTAGAACCAGACCAGTCATGAAAACAAACAAACAAACAAAACCAGTATAAACCAGTGGGGAAGTGGGCCCCTGAGAGGCAGAGTAAGGAAAGCAGATGGTGGAGGTGGCTGGGGAGAGGCACGGAAGCATCAGGAGGTTGACTGGTGACCCCACGAGGGTCCAGGAGGTCGTGATAGGCTGAGCGACTGAGCAACTGGTACTGCACGCGTGGGAGTGGGTGGATCAGCTGCGGCCGGCAGAGACAACACGGGAACAGAGACGACATCCAAAGCTAAGACTACCTGGGTAAGGATGAGAAGATGTACAAGACTCAGAACTGTGGCTGGAGTTGGGCTTGCCACAGGGAGCAGGAAGTCTGGAGAGATGAACTGGGGCCTGGTGTAGAGCTTGTCGGGGTGGGAATAGGGGGATATCTGTGGAAAGGAAGAAAGGAAGTGCTCACATCCCCGAGAAGGAGGCTGACGCTGGCCAAGGGAGCAGTGCACGCCTGAGGAGGGTGGCCCTAGGGACGATCGGGGCTTGACAGAACTCGCTGAGGAGTCCCGCACCTCTCTTTTCAAGCTGCCCCTCCATAGTGTCTTTTGAAAACCGGCTCCCCACACTATTTCTCTTCTGATCAGCCTTCAGCCAGTCCTATTTGGGAATTAACTGCTTAGTGAAGTGTTGGCAGATGACACATTTATACTATGATGGTAGGGCTGGACAGAGTAGATTTTGGAATTAAAAATTCTTCCAGAGTCAGGGGAATATAGGGTTTTTGGCCAGTGCCTGGATGGAAGAAGCAGACACATGTGCACAACAGGGTCATATACATTATCTCACAGGGGAGGTATTTTGAGATAGGAGCTGTGCTTTACACCCCCTCAAATGTGCATTGCTAAATATCCTGCTTACTCAGAAGACTGTCCTCTGAAGCATGGAGGTCCAGGACTCCCGGTGGCCACCTTGACTTGTCTCCCAGCAAGATCTGCTTTCTTTTTTACTTCCCAGTGTCCAGCACAAATGCATTCTTCTCTCGATTTGCAACAGGCTGAGGAAAAATGGTTAGGTTCCTGTTCTTTTGTTCTTGACCACGATTCAGACGGGCATAGGTTCAAGCTTCTCTAATGACCCAGGGAATAGTTCCAGTTATTTAGTGGAAATGAAGCAACTGTTTCAATATACGAGTTCCACAGGACTTAGGAGGACATAGTGCCAAGAATTCATTTCCAAATGGTTAGTGAAACCATTAAGCACTTTTGGTTAATGATGTTAAATTAGGAAGTTCATATAAACCAAGACTTATCATTGTTGGCTTGTCAAAATTATAATTTTGAAAAGTCAAAGTATTAAAAAAATTTATTAAAACCAAACACAAGAAATATGTCTAAATGAATTTTGGTGGTGCAGAATTCATGGTGTGTTTTTAAAAATCACTTTTTTTTCTGATTTCAAAAGTGGTAGATGGTCATGGTAGAAAAAATCAGGAAATATAAAAGTAAGAGAATAACTAAGAATATATCACTGTCATTTTCTACTTAGTGAGGACTGCTCTTAACATTTTAGTGGATTCTTTCTGGGCTTTAGTTTTCAGTGTATGCACTGGCTTTTGTTTTTCTTCCCCCATAATGCTATATGGTGAGCATTTTCCACTGTCATTCAGATTAATTATAAACCTCTTTAATGGCTGCATAATCACTGTTTGAGTGTACCATTATTTAATTTTTTACTTTTTAAACTTTTCCTCTTGAAATGATTTGTCTTACCAAAAGTTGCAAAAATAGTACAAAGATTTTCAGTATACCTTTCACCCAGCTCTTGCAAATGTTAACATCTTGCATAATCATGCACAATGATCAAAGCCAGAAAATGACTATAATACTTTAATTAATCTCCAGACCTTATCCAAATTTCACCAATTATTCCACTAGTGTCCAGGATCATGCATCGCATTTAGTTGTAGTATCTCTTTAGTCTTCTCTGCTTTGGGTAGTTCTTCCATCTTTCTTTACCTTTCATCACCTTGACTTATTTTGTAGAATGTCCCTCACTTTGGGTTTTGTCTGACATTTTCTCCTGATAAAATTCAGGTTACGCATATTTGGTAAGAATACCACAGAAAGCATGTGCCCTTCTCGGTGTCTCAGTGCATCAGTTCAGAAGGTGATGAGCCAGAAATTACTAAGCCATCCATCTACAGTTAGACACTTAGGTGGTTTCTGATTTTTATACATAATTCTGCAACTCTATTTGATTATTTTCTAAGGAGTAAGTTTTAAAAATGGAATGAGTCAAGGGTGTAAACATTAAAAGCTTTCGATACCATATTACAAAACTGTTTTTTAGAAAGGTTTTAGCCAGTTACTCTTGTGTTAGTAATAGTAGAATGCCTCCCTCTCTGCCCTCTCCAGCACTGAATGATATCAACAACAAAACAAAACAAAACAAAAGCTCTGCTGATTTGATTACTGTGGAGGCTAGTCAGTTTTACATGTATTTCCTAATCATTTTTCCTTCTGCTTTTATGACATATTTATCTAATTACTCGCAAGCCCTTTTGCACAGGGCTAAGTGCTTTGCATATCCCAACACATTTAATCCTTGTAACCAGTCCCTGAGGATGATGCCATCATTACTTATATTTTACAGATTAGAAAATCTGGGGCTCAGAATATTTAAGTAATGTGTTTTTAAATTCCGGCAGCTATTAACTGGTGGAGACAGAATTAGAACTCAGACCAGTCTTCCGTGGCAGGCTGAGTGCTCCAGTCCTCAGTGGGGAACTGCTGAATAGGCACCAAGGGCACCTGCGTGTCTTCAGACCAGTCTGCAACCTCAGGCTGAGTAGCAGTAAACTCAGCAGCTGGCGCAGTCCATTCACCCTGAAACTCCTCCTTGGTCACAGCCTTTTCAGCGGCAGGCTGCTCTTCCTTTTCAATCTCTTCAGGATCTCTGTGGAAGCAGAGATCAGGCATGACCTCCCACGGGTGTTCACAAGAGATGGTGCCACTCACATGCAGAACTTCTTGAGCCAGCACCCACCACATCGGACCCACCGAGGGAGCTCCCTTGTTGCATGGGATGGCGACGTCCACAGGGCGCAGAGGAGAATCTGTTACCCAGAGCTGCAGTAGGCTGGTTGACATGAGACGCCTCTGTGAGAGACTGGCGGTCAGCCCTGGGATCAGTAACCACCACAAGACGCGGCTCCTGGAATGCTGCCTGGCTCTGGGTAGTGAAGGTTCTGGGAGGGAAGTGACCAGCAGTAGGAGAAGCTCCAGTGGCAGCAGCGAACTTCAGCACAGCCTGCTGGTCAGTATTCCTGGAAGTCGTGATGGCAACGAAGGCCTGAGCTGCCGGCAGAAGCTTCTTCCAGGTCCTCTTTAGATTTATGGTGTAGATGCCATTGCTTTTCCTTTTGTGGATGTACTGTTCCATTTGGAGGTCAAGATTGGTGGCACCTAAGTGGGTACTTGTTGCAAGGAATTTGAAGGCATCCTCCTCCTTCACATGAAGGACATCAAGGGCTCCGGACATTGTAAAAGTCTGCTTTAAAGTGACCATGGGAACCCAGAACAACACAATATGGATCCCCCTTTGGGTAGCATGGAAAGGACAAAGTATTTTCTTTAACAATGACAGTTTTTATGTTTCATACTTCTGATATCTTCAAAATGGTAACAGAAAAATCTGTGCTGAGTGGTTTAATTCTTAAAATATAAAAAGCTTTTAGAAAATGAGAACTCAGAAGGGCTTATTCTTTTCATTTACAACCTATGAGTTGCTAGGCTCTTAAAATTGATATTAGGTCCTTTAAAAATAATTGCAATAAAATTGTTCTATTAAAACTTTGATTTTTTTTTTAATAAAATTCTTTATTTTAAAAGTGCACAACTCTTGAAATCTTGCCTCCTGTTTTAGGAATGATATTCTTTTGGAAATGAAGAAAATAAATGGCTTAATTTTTTAAAATTCAAAAGCATAAGAGACAATAGTAACTACAGATGTTAGTTTCCTTCTTCCATTTTCAAAATGCTCGTAGCTGAATTA